TCTTTGTAGTTCTATTAGTTTATGCCCCATATATTTTGACACTCCATTGTTGGGCAAATATTCAGTGGGGATTGTTAAGTCTTCATGACAAATTGCACCTTTGTCATTGTGTAATGACCCTCTTTATTTCTGATAACTGTCATTGGTCTGAAGTCTGTTCTTTCTGGAATTAGCAGCTGCTTTTGCTTTCTTTTGGCTAGTGCTAGTATCCATTTCTTTGTTTTAGTCAATCATTTATTGATCAACACTTTACATATTTTGACTTATTTTACCAGAAAAGGGGTATATCATCAGAGTAAGGAATCTTCTTGATATGTGTCAATTGATAAAATAAAATTTAGATATTAAGCAATCACTAGATAATACATGTATATATCAAAGAATGATTATAATTTTTAGCCAATCTAGCAAAGTTGTCAAAGGAATAAATGAAAACAGTTTTTACATTTTTATTGATTTAGTTTGAAAGATAAAATAGTTTTAATTTATATTTCAATGCCATTTACATGAAAAATATTAAAGGGACTAAAAAGAAATTGCTTTGTATACCAAAAGTATGATATTGCGTTATTTCTTTTGACTGGCTTAGACCTCAAATAGTTTTCTATACTTAAATTTTTTATACTTTAAAAAGAGTACTTTTATTTAATCATTTCAATTTTATCATGACAGGTGCCAGAGAAAAGTTTAAAATTTTTCAAGTAAGACTGCCTTCCTAATGCATTTGTTGCACTCTGTAATTATAGATTCTGTTGTGCAGATTACTTTAAAGGCAATAAATCTTCTCTATGGCATAAGGTACCCATGACAAATAAATATATGCTCTTTTAGGTCTTTACAAGGAAGAGAATTCAGACTCAGTTGACACAATAATCACTTCCTACCATGCTCTGAGGCCAACAGTCCACTCAAATTGTGGATATAGTTCCTCAGATGCGTTTTAACACAATAGATTTCGATGTACATTTTCAAGAAAATCCTGAAAATTCCATTACACTTTTCAGAGGGGCGAGAACACAGACACATTGAAACCAAATAGGAAATAGTTGCACCACGAATGAATGTTCCTTTTGTAACATGTTCATTTTTTAAAGTTCTTTAATATTTATTGAGGTAATGTTGGTTTACAACACTGAATGTAATTTAAAGGTATATGTTCCCTCTTCATATATATGTTACCAGGACAAAAATACACATAATCCTCCATTTTTAGTCCACTGAGACTCCTCCTGCTTAGCTCACCTCCACCCTCCCCTCTGGTAACTTCAGTTTTCAGCCACATTTCAAGGGTTTGTTTTGGTTTCGTTCTATTTGTTCCCTTGTTTTGTTTTAATTCATATATGAATAAAATGATCCTATATTTCTCCTTCTTACTTATTCTGATTAGCATAATCTCCATGTTGTTGCAAATGGCAAGATTTCATCATTTTTATAGCTGAGTATTTGTCCATTGTGTGTGTGTTTTTCACAACTTCTTTATCCACTCATCTGTTTTTGGACACTTGAGTTGTTTCCATAACTTGGCTATTGTAAATTGTGCTGCAAAGAACATAAGAATGCATATATCCCTTCAAATTAAGGATTTTGTATTCTTTGGATAGATACCTAGGAGTGGAATTACTGGATTATGGCAAATCTATTTTTTAATGTTTTCAGAAAATTCCATAATGGAAAACAAATTTTCGTTAAAAAAACCACTTTATTTGAGGTGTTTTTGTCAAATAAAAAACTGTATGTAAAGCCTGCAACTTAATGACTTTGAAGATAAGTACATGCCCATGAAATTATTACCAAAAATATGTCATATGTCATAAACATATCCATCCCCCCTAAAAGCTTCTGCCTGCCTTTTTATTTATTATTATTTCTTTGTATTAAGAAGACAAAATCTCCCTTCTTTGTATATGTTTAAGAACATTATACACACTTTAAACTGTAGGCGCTATGTCTATATTATAAGAGGAACTCCATGGCTTGGTAGTGCAGCAGAGACAGCCAACCCTAGCAGAGGTCAGGTTTCACACACCAGTGTAGTTCAGCTTTTGAAACTTATACCAGTTTTAAAATATACCAATCAGGTTTGAAACCCATGGACCCTGAAAGCCATAAAAGCCAGAGAGCAGGTGGATTTGGATACACACTCATCAGACACTCTCATCTGGGAAGACCTTCTTTTCAGATCAGATCATTGATTGCCACGCTTGCCTCTGGCATGACCATCACCACCTCATGACTGGCACTGCTTTCCTATGTCCAGTACCTCTGACTACTGTCTGCTACTGATCTCTGTCTGGCCCCTGTAAGAGCTATCTGCTTCTGATCTGTGCCCTAACATTACCTGCTCACCAGCACCATCGGCCTATGCCTGGTGCTTCTAAGAATTGTCCACTACTGCCTGATCCTCAGCATCCTCAGCATCACCTGCTGACTAGCACTGCTGGCCTGTGCCTGTGCCACCTCTAGAGTTGTCTACTGTTGCTGTTGCCTCTCACACTACCCAACCCAGCCTCCAGACTGCTGCTGCTGGCTGCTGTAGAGCTGTCTTAGCAGGACCACTTGTAATTACATACAGCTGCATGAATCATGTCCTGTTCCACCACTTATTGGTGTACTGCCAGCTCTAGGCCCTCATTGAAAGGGCAATGCTATCTTTCACAAGCAACTTTTGGTTTGGACTACAGGACACTGTGGACACTATCTGGGGTGAGACAGAGGGCCAAGTGGCCTTAGACGCTCTTTTGTTTTTCCCAATTTCCCCCTTGTAAATAAACTCTGTTGTTGTTACAGTGAGTTTGAGTCATGTCTTGCAATTATAAGTGCATGAATAATGACCTATGAACTGTGGCTTTCCCTAGATTTGCACAGTTCAGTATGTGTCTTTATAGTTCAAATGGGTATCTTCTAGATGACATGTAATTGAGTCTTTTGTTTGTTTTTGGTACAGTTTTTTAATCAGTATATTTAGACTACTGGCATTTAAAGTGATTATTGATACAGCTAGGTTAATGTCTACCATATTTGTTAGTTTTTATTTGTTGCTCATTTTCTTTGCTCCCATTTTTGTCTTTTTCTTCCTTCTGTGATGTAATTTTGGTTGCCCATTTTATAATTTAATTCCCTCTCTTTTCTTAGCATGTCAGTTTTTTTCTTTTTTCAGCATCTTTTGTTTATTCTGGAATTAATAATATACATTTAAAACTAATTCAAGTGCACTTTCAAATAACATTATATCAAATTCAGAGGTAGTGTAAGTTCCTTATAATAGCAAAATATTCCTAGTTCTTATACTGTTCCTTGTGTCATTGCTGTCATTTATTTCATGTATGTATAAAAATAATCATATAGCTGGAAACATAGACAGATGAACAAACTAATTGAACACACTGTTGCTATTATTATTTTTAAAAAACATATTATTAGATAGATCTAATAAAAATAAGAAAGTTTTTATTTCCCTTTGCTTATTCCTTCCTGGTAGCCTCCTTTCTTTTATGTAGATCTGAGTTTTTTAATCTATGAGATTTTTATTTTCTTTAAAGAATTGCTAGTATTTTTATAAGGCAGGTCTACTATCTTAAACTTCACTTGTTTGAGAAAGTCTTTACTTTTTCACCTCTGAAGGATAATTTCATAAGGTAAAGAATCTAAGGTAGTAGTTTTCTATGACAATCTTAAATATTTCACTGTGCTTTTGTATTTGTATAGTTTCTGAGTGGAGTAAAATGTAGCAAACCTTATCTTTGGTCCCCTATAGGTAAGCTACTTTCCCCCTTCTGGCTTCTTTCAATATATTTTTCATTATATTTAATTTTCTACAGTTTCAATATATTTATTTTCAGTTTTTGTTTGTTTGCTATGGCATTTGTCCCATGTGGTATTCTCTGAGCCTCCTGGATTTGTGGTTTGTGTCTAACATTAAAGAAATTCTCAGTTATTACTTCAAATATTTCTTCTGTTAATTTCTTTCTTCTGATATTCCCATTACATAATGTTATGCCTTTTGTAGTTATCCCATGGTTATTGTATCTTCTGTATTTGTATCTGTTCTTTTCTTTTCACTCTTTTGTTCCCTTTGCTTTTTCATTTTGAATGATCCTATTGACATGTCCTCACGCTCAGAGAGTCTATCCTCAGCCATGTGCAGGCTACTAATGAGCCCCTCAAAGCCATTCTTCATTTCTGTTATACTGTTTTTGATCTCAACTGCTTCTTTTTTATTCTTTCTTAGAAATTCCATTCCTGCTTATGTTGCCTTCTGCTTTTGCATGTTGTCTATTTTATCCATGAGAGCCTTTACTGTATCAATCATAAGTATTTTAAATTCCTGAGCTAATATTTTAACACCACTGCCATATCTGACTCCGATTCTGATGTTTGCTGTCTCTTCAAATTGTGTCTTTTCAAGAGATAACAAATGCTAGAGTGGTTGTGGATAAAAGGGAACTCTAGTGCACTGTTGGTGAAACTGCAAATTGGTAGAGCCACCATAGGAAACAGTGTGGAGGACTTTAACAAAATTCAAAATAGAACTTCCATGTGACCCAGTAATTCCACTCTGGGACTATATCCAAAGGAAACAAAGACAGGAACTTAAAAATACATCTTTACCCACATGATCATAGCATGATCATGGAATATTATTCAGCAAAAAAAAATTAGGAAATCTTATCATTTGCAACATGACTAGACTTTGAAGGCATATACAAGTGAAATAAGTCACACAGAGAAAGACAATGCTATGTGATCTAACTTGTGTCTGGAATTTGAAAAGACAGACTCATAGAAAAAAAGATCAGATTCATGGCTACTAGAGGAAGACAGTGCAGAAAGGAAGAATTGAAGGCAGTTGGTCAAAAGTAACATGTCCAGATATAAGCTAAATAACTACTAGGAATATAATGTACAACATGATGGCGGTAACGAATACTACACAGAAACGTTATTAATAGAGTAAATCCTAAGAGTTCTCACAACAAGGAAATTTTTCCTTTATTATTTCTTCTTATTTTCTTTTTATTGTATCTATAAGAGAAGGTGAATATTAGATAAACCTATTATGGTAATTATTTCCCAATGTGTATAAATCAAGCCATCAAGCTGTTCTTCAAACTGATGTATATGGTGTGCATCAATTATTTCTCAACAAAATTGAAAAAGAAAACTATGCTTTTTGCCTGTACATTTTTCTTGGTAGTCAGACATGGCTGCCTCATAATCAGTAGTCATGGTAAAGAGTTCTATTTCAGCCTTTAGTAATAAGGTGTTAAGATGTGGAGGAAGTGAAGTCATATTATTATCAGGTCTCAGTGTTTTCATGCGCATGTGACATTAGATTGTTAAATTCACAAGAACTTTTCAATTGTTCCTCTCCCCCTTCACTAAGTAGAACAAGGAAGTTTCAAGAGAGTGGAGTTGAGTGTTCTTCTCCTTTTCCATGGAAGGTGAGAGTTGGCTGGTGTTGATATTTCCTTTCTTCCAGATTGTCTTGGCTCTGAAAAAAAACAGTAGTTGAGGCACTGGTGAGTGAGTTTATTTGTTGTTAGGGCTTGTTAAGGAGAATGAAATACTCTGGCATTTCTCAAAATGTGCCATTTGGAAAAATGTGGGGATTTTTCTTCCATATTCACTGTGGGACACTGTTTGAGTTTTGGGAGGTAAAACTCACAAAAGTGTGTTGGTCTTTTGGAATGGGTTCCTGGAGTTTTTAACTCTCAGACTTGTTTGCTCTGAGCCTCTGAGTATTTGTTAACTACATAAATATAGTTCTAATCAGTTGTAATTATCTGTATTTGCCTGTCTGTCTCTCCAGTTTTGGAAGGATATTTTGCCCTATTACCTCACTTTTCTAGTGTATTTAAGAACTTTTTCGTTTATTTAGCTTTTTACTTGGTAGGCTGGAAAGCCACTTTCTAGCTTTCTTACATGTTGGGCTAGCAACTAGAAGCTCAAAAATGCATTTTTCAAAATTACTTTACAAAATTTTACCTATAAAACTTTGGGCAAAAGTAGTAAGTAGTAGTAGTTTATTGAATTAAAATGGGAGATAATTCAAAATTTACTTTTGAAAAAAGACAAAGCATCTTATGTTAATTTATTTTTCTGATATTTATGAGTTGGTCATTTGAAGGTTGAAATTCAACTGTGAAGATAACTCAGTGTTAGTTATTTACAGAGGGGGTAAAATTAGCACATTGGAAAGGAAATGACACAAATCCCTTGGAGAATGTTATTCTTATTCAATGAAGAATATGGCAGGCCAGAAAATTCCCTTGAAAAAATATTCCTGGGAGGGGGATAGAGGAAGTGTCCTGTTTACCTTCTGTTTTCACTCAACAAAATGCAGAGGCCCTTGGCTTATGGTTCCTCAGCAAAGGAAATATAGGAGAATTTAAGAAAAAAAATTCTTGCAACAAAAGAAAGAACATGATTAGAGGAGTGAAATATCACCTTGAAGATGAATGGATAAATGATAGCCTTTGGTGAAACACCATATGGGAAAGATTCTCTGTCACATGATCTATTTGGAAAAGCCACTGATTATTTAATGGCTTATTATTTATGTTCCAGCAGCTTTAGCCTCTTGAATATCAGCAATCAATCCATCCAGTTTTATATATTTATTTTTCTATTTTTAAGTTCTTTTTCTCCAGAATCTATTTCACTCAGAGGCGTGGAGTTGGGTTTGTTCAGTTTTTCACTGATTGCCTCTATACTTTCTGGTTGTGATGGCTCTTTATGAAGACTGGCATTTTTTGATGGGTGGTTCTAGGCTATCATATCTCTTTCAGTTAGTTTGTTAAGTTGAAAAACAAGTTATAGACCCTTCTGTATAACTGTCATTGTTTCCTTAAACAGAGAATAATGTTCTCCCAAACTACACAACTGTGATATTTTTTTCTGATCATGCCTTCTATCCCAAGGAAACCAGATGTCAGAAGCTGAACTCTGTTTTCAGGGACAGGCTAATGCTAATAAACCTAGAAGAGTTTCACTAGGAAGAACCTAGAGCATAGCTCTGGGTCTATTTACAGTCCTCGTGGATATGTTCTTCAGACCACACAAGGAGGCTCCTGAGCTTAGCATTGCCTGCTAAGCTACAATGTTCCACTCAGAACACTCCACAGCTTTCTTCGCAAATCAAACCTGCACTTATTTGCTTTTCCTGACAACATAATCCTTTCCTATAAATCAGAATTTCATCTAGCATCATTTTCCTAAAGAATTCCTTTCACATTTCTTACAGTTCAGGTTTGCCATCAGAGGACTAATTCCTCCAGCTTTTGTATATCTGAAAACATCTATTCTGTGTTTATTTTTAAAGAATACTTTTGCTGAATAAAGAATTCTTGGTTGAAAGTTTGGTATTTTCCTCCTTCAGAATTTAAAGATGTCTTCTGACGTTCATTATTTCTGATGAGTCATCATTCTTATCATTTCCCCTTATCGATAATACAACTATTTTCACTGACTATTTTGTTATCAGAAGTTTGAAAATATGAACTTAGTGTGATTGTCTTTACCTTTCACTTTCCTAGGTTTTGTTGATTTTCTTGGCTCTGTGTGAGGTATAGTATCAAATTTGGAAAACAAACTATTTCTCATTACCTTCTGAAACTGTATATATTTTATATCATTTGATTTTTTTAAATAAAAAATGTGGTTATAGATGATCTACTTAGCTTTTCTGTTCCTTCTTTATTATTTTTCCTTCTGTGTCACTGATTCATTTCTATCAATTTACTATAGGTCTAATACTTTTATCTTCTGCTTGTGTCTATTATTTCTTTAAGTTCATTGAGTAGATGTTTAAAACCTTAGGCCAACATAATTGTGCTATCATTTATATGAAATAAGTGCATCCACATTTTAAGTGTTTAATTTGATGAATTCTGTCAGATATATAAGGTTGTGTATCCATTAATCAAATCAGAAGAGAGAATGCTGTCATCACTTCAGAAAGTTCCCTCAGTCCACAATGAAGTCAACCCTCTGAACAATGCAGCCATTTTCTCAATTAATGTAAATTTCACAATCAGGTAGTAAAAATCTTCCAGTGTTTTCCCCAAAATAATTTTTGACATTCTTAGTCTTTTGTGTATTCATGAAAACTCAGAATGACTTCTTTAATTTTGTGTTGAAAAATCCTAATGAGGTTTTCACTAGTATTTCATTGCATCCATATTGTTTTGGGCAAGAGCTGATTAACAATATTGACTCTTGTTTTCTGTAAACATGATATATCTCTATATCTATCTGTTTAAAACTTCTTTTTTTTCTTAATAATATCTTCAGTTTTTAATATATAAATATTGTACATATTTAAATATATTTAATCTAAATATTTCACAGTTTTGAATGCAATTAAATATGCTTTCACATTTTCTCTGTTCATGTATTTAAGAACAACTTTAGTGAGATCATACAATTCATCTAATTTAAATGTACAAGTCAATGTTTTCTTAGCATATTTAGAGTGCAGAAACATTGCCACAATCAATTTTAGAATATTTTTATCACTCACAAAAGAAACCCTGCATCCATTAATACTCACTTCCTAGTTCCGCCTCTCCTATGTATATCACATAAAGGGAATCAAACAATATCTGGTCTTTTATAGGTGATGTTGTTCATGCAGCCTACTGTTTTCAAGGCTTATCAATGCAGTATCATTACTGCATTGATTTTTATTGAATAATATTCCAATGTATGGGAATATTGTATTTTATTTATTCATTCAACACTTGATAGAGATTGGATTATATCCATGAATAATGCTGCTATGAACATTTGTGTGGATACATATTTTCATTCTCTGGTAAATACCTAGGAGTGGACTTTCTGGGTCATATGGTAAATATATTTAACTTCTTAAGGAACTTTCAGATTGGTTCCCAGAATTGTTACACCATTTAACATTCACAACAGTGGAGTATGAGAGTTTAAAGTTTTTATATCCTTATAAATACTTGTTCTTATCTGGCTTTCTGATTAGTGTCATTCTAATGGGTATAAAGTAACATCACCTTGTGTTGTATTTCTCATTTTCATTGATTCATTTTTCTCTGATGGCTAGTGATATTAAACACATTTTCCTGTGCCTCAATAGGCATTTACATATCTTTGGGAAAATGTGTGTTCATATTCTTTACTCATTTTTAAATTGGGTTATCTGTCTTTTTATTGAGTTTTAAGAATTCTTTATAAGTTCTAGATTTAAGTCACTTATATATATGACTTGCAAGTACTTTATCACATTCTGTAGATTTTCTTTCCACTTTCTTGATGGTGTCTTTTGAGTCACATCAGTTTTGAAATTCGATGCAATCTAATTTATTGGTGTTTTCTTTTGTTGCTTTTTTCAGGCACAAGAAACCATTGCTTAATTCAATGCTTAATTCAAGATCATGAAGATTCATAGATTTGATTTTTACATTTAGATCTTTAATTCTTTTTGAGTTAATGTTTGTATGTCGTATGAGGTATGGATCCAGCCTCATTATTTTACCTCTAGAAATGCAGTTTTCAGGCCTCCCTGGTGGCGCGAGGGGCTAAAATGCAACCAAAGAAGCTTGCTGCAGCCACTGGAGCATGAGTTCAATCCCTGGCCAGGGGGCTACCCACATGGCGCAGCAAACCTCTCCTGACTCTCCCGCTGCTCCTCTCAGCAGTGTATTTCAGTCGATCTGCCTGTTCTGTCCCCTACGCTCTCTAGTGAATCCTCTCACCACCCCCCCCATACCTCTGGCTTATACCCCAGTTCTTGTATGTATAAATAAATAAATCTTAAAAAATAAAATGAAATACTATTAAAAAAGAAATTCAGTTTTCTCAGTAACTGAATTTGTTTAAGAGACTATTCTTTCTCTATTGAATTGTCTTTACACCTTTGTCAAAAATCAATTTATAGTAAATGTGAGATACCGCTGCTTTTAAAACTTCAATTTCCAATTATTTGCTTTAAGTATATATAAATACAATTTTTTATATTGATTTTCCTTTTTTACAGTTTTATTGAAAAATAATTGACAGTTCATTGTATAAGTTTAAGACAAACAACATGATGGTTTGATTTATACATATTATGAAATAATTGCCACAACAGGTACAGTTAACATCTATCTTCTGATATAGATACAATTAAAAAAAAGAAAAGAGAAAAGAAAAATACCTCCTTGTGATGAAAACTTTAGATATTTACTCCCTTTACAATTTTCCTTTACATTATACTGCAGGGTTAGCTATAGTCATTGTGTTGCACAATACATCCCTAGTTTTAAGACTTATCTTATAACTGGAAGTGTATAACTTTTGACCACCTTTCTCCAATTCTCCCTCCTCCTACCCTCTGCCTCTATTAAGCACAAATAAGTTACTTTTTCTCAATTTGTTTGTTTGTGTTTTTTAGATTCCACATACAGTTTTTTTTTTTTTTTTAATAGAGGCATGTTTTTATTTATTTATTTGTTTGTTTTGTTTATACATGCACTGGGTACAGTCAGAAGTGCGGGAGGGTGAGAGAATTCACCAGAGCCAGAGCGGGGAGCAGAGCAGGCAGAAGGACTGAAGTACACTGCTGAGGGGAGCAGGAGAGGTCTGCGCACCATGTGGGACCCTCCTCCGGTGGCTGGGGAGCAGCCGGGGATCGAACCGGCGCCACAGAGGCCGCGGGCAGCATCGCAACCCAGCGCTCAACCGCTGTGCCACCGGGGAGGCCCCACATACAGTTTATATCATACATTATTTTTCTTTCTCTGATTGACTTATTTCACTTAGCATAATAACTTTAACTCCATCCAGGTTTTTGCAAGCAGTATAATTTCATATTTTTTTTGGCTGAATTGGAGAGATAGAGAGATAGATAGATAGATAGATCACGATACTGAAGATCGTTAGTTTATATTTTAATAATTATTATGTGTTGTGTGCCTCACATCTTAGTTTTTATTCTCAGAAAAGTGCTATGAAGTATTACTCAATGTTTTGCAGCTGAAGAGTGGAAGCTCTGAGAGTAAACTGCATTTCATATTTTCTGTCTTCATGAACTCCACACACACTTTCATTCTCCACCTGCTTTGTGACCCTTGGAGGCTGATTCCTGTCAACTGCAGTGGCCAGTGGGAGCCATGTCAGTGGACTGAAGTGTGGGAAGGGAGAAAAGTCGAAGTATTTCTGTTCCTTCAGTATTTTGCACCATATCACTAACAGTGGCTAGTGCATGCTTCTAACTTTCACAGGCCCCAGTAACTCTTTCCTCTCCTCTTCCTTTAAGCCTGTATAACTAATGTTTTCCTCATGTTCCCAGGTTTTGACTGCCTAGAGGTGACAATCACTTATTAGCTCCCTTAACCCCATCTGAGTCTCTCATCTCTGTTAATCACTGCATGGTAGTCTGATCCTTTGAACCATCTGAGCTGCACACCTGCATGACAGATTCCTAACAGAACTGAGAAGCAAAGTGTCCAAAATTAGTTAATTAAATCTAATTGTGGCTGAGCAACTTTGTCCCTAAGGACTGGTATGGATGAGCAAATCAGTAGGAAGACAGGGCAGAAAGAAGGTTTCATTCTCTCATTCAGTGGGCACTGAGATAAGGTATTGACCCCAGCAGCACTGAGCCTGTCTTGGGTCTAGGAGGAATATGCAGTGGGGTTAGACTAGGTGTCTGAAAACCCTGCTTCTTTTCCTAGCTTTTTATGGCAAGTTGTCAAGTAACCTCACATTCTTCCTTCCCTGGGCTCAGTGAGTTCTTAATAAGGAAATTATTTTGAAGAGTATAAAGCCAAGCAAGTATATAAGGTAGCTTTGTTTTCATGATTATTAGTAGTGAAAGCTACAGGCTGTGGGGTTAACTATTCTGTCAGTTTCAGTCCTTAGCTTGGAATGGGATGAGAAAAATTAAGGGGAGTGGAGGTTTTCCACCTCCTTCTCCTTCAGGGCTGCCCACTTAGGTGCCATGCTGGGTTGGGGGAGGGGGAGAAATCAACTTGATGTGGCCTCACATGGCCCTCATTTAAGACTTGTTCTAGTCCTGCTGGGCAGAGAGGAGATTTCTAGCTTTTAAGAAGAGGAGGAATTAAATCCACAGTAGCAATGAGCTTACCTTGGCATTTTTTCATGATTTTCTGCAGCGTTAAAAACTTTTGCCAATGTTTGCATTTAATAGCTTCTGCCTTGGTGAAATTATTGAGGTTCCCAACTGTGATTTCAATGGTTCTTAGAGTAGTGGGGCATTTGTAAATTGCAGCCAGAAATTAATAGCAGCCTATGAAAAAGAGAAAAATTAATTGAACAGGAACTAGTGAGTGAAGATCTAAGTGAAGGAAAGGGGAAAATATGTCTGTATGAATAGATAACAGATATGTATACACTTTTACATTTATTTTTCACTTTGATGGTTTTGTTTATTTTATATAGCAGAAAACCTGATAAAAATTTAATTATCTTGTTTGCTTTCCATCGTAGTGATTCTTTCATGAAGAAATGAGAGGAATCTCTTTCACACCAAGGGTCCCTTTGTCTCTCCAACCACTCTAGGAGTTGGTTGGATTTTTTTGTATTTTAGTAACTGAGTAAAGGTTGAAACTCAAGTGTTCACGAATAGAGATCAAGTGTTCTTCCCCCCATGCTTGTGACTGGGGTCAGAAATTTGGAATTTATTATAAAATTTTCAATTTTAAAAGTTGGAAAGAAAGTTTTTGTTAAAAGCACATGCTTTGCAAACCCAGCACAGAACATTAGGTTAACCCTAATAAACTCTCATTTTGTGGGTCCATATGTTGTCATATTATCTTCAGTCTGAGATAATAAAGTTTTGTGTGGTGCTGTTACAGGACAGGGAGAGGAGCACCCCAGACCCCGCAAACCTGCCTGCTCTACATGGGTTCTGCCATCCGCCGCATTAACACAAAACACATGAGACTTTAATGGGAAGGAACTTTAATACAATTAGGAAACAATACAGGAAAGGCAAAGAATCTAGTTTCTAAATGAAGCACCCAAAGTTACCCGTGCCCTTGTGGGTAAAAGTCCATCCAAATGGGATTGGCCCAGAACAAGGCCCCAAAGCCTGCCACAAGTCTAAAGCATCTTCCAGTGGGGACCCACAGAAAAGGGTCAGAAACAACCAGACAAGCCCGGAAGGAAAAGAGCAAAATCAACATCAAGATAAAAGCTGCCATTGTCACCTCTCCACGGGTCTCATCCACATCTGTGTCACCCAGCCCACGTCCAAAAGACAAGCGCAGTTTCTTCACGCGTCTCTAGGTTCCATGCACCTCCTCCAGATCTCCTTCGGCGACATCCTGCTTCCTTCCTCAGTCTCCACTGCAGCTTCTTCTCTCCCTGCTCAGCTCCACCCTCCCTTGGGTGGGGCAGGAAACCTGGAAACCCTTTCCTGTGGACCACCCTGTTACAGTGCCACATTTTTTAAAGTGAGCTATAACACACACATAGTGCTGGGTGTCTGGTACAGCAATACTAAGAATGTAGGTGCTTGAATTTTGTGTTTTCTCACACCTATGTCTGCATAATCACTGCCTAGATGGGGATATAGAGCATTGAGCACATAGAGGTCCCCTGTGCCCTCTGTCTACAAATTCTCACTCTCCTATGAAAGGGATCTTAAGGGAGGAAATGGCCTAGTTGAGGAGAGGGCCTGCGAAGTTCCCTTAGAAGAGGAGAGAGGGTTTGGGGAATTTGGGATGGTTGATGAAGACCTGTGCTGCCTTGCACATACCCTGGGATTTGGGGGAGGGACATAGTGTTCCTAGGGGAAATTCCCAGATATTGGGTACCCTCAATCTGGAACAATCTTGAGGCTCTGGGGCAGGCTAGTGTGAAAAGACCAGGAGGACAGTCTTGGACCTAACTCCAGAGTCCACGGCTGTGCAGGGAGCCTGGAAACTGAGCATCTCTGGGGACTGAAGACATTTGAGGGCAGGGACTATGCAGGAATCCAGGGTTCCTGCAGACCCCAGGGGCAGGGAGAAGCCCCCAGGGCACTCTGGAGGGAGGTGCTATAGTTAACACCAACAATGGTTGGTGAGGAAGTGGGTGGGGAGGTGATAACTGTGCCAGATTCATTTAGTTAGGATAAAGCAGACATGCTATGATCTGTCTCTTGCTCTGCATATCAAAGAACAAAATCATATGTGTTTTATTTATTTTGTTTGAATTTTTGTTGGCAGAGCCCAGACTGCCAGGCTGTGCGCCAGGCTGGATTGGCTGAAGTTCTGGTTCAACCGGAGTCCAGCCTGGGGAGGGCTGAACAAATGAGGTAAAATTTCTGCCTCTTCTCAGCCCATCACTGCGTTGCTTCCAGTGTTCATTTTCCCCACAGGTCTTAGAAGCTTTTGTTCTAATGCACAAAGGGAAGGCCTTGGGGAGGGGAGGCCTGGCAGGGGTTTCAAACCCATTTGTGGAGAGGACTAAGGGTTGCAACTTTTTTCTAATCTTGGAAGGAATTGGCACCCTCTGTAGTGTGAAGAGATGCAAATGCCTTTTCCCCTGTGAAGTCAGTGATGGCAATAGAGGCCCAATTTTCACCTGGTGACGGCTTGCTCTGTATTAATGATGCTTTGGAACTGTCTTCTGAACCTCCTCAGGCTACAGGTTGGCCTCTGTGAGCCTCACAGATGAAAGCTGCTTTGTTTAGGGGAGTGCTAATGGCTCCTGTTCTCACCCTGGCTGCTGTCCGCTTCCCTACATTCTCAAGGAGGAAATTTATAGTCTGTTCTTTCTCTCAAGGGGACTGAGCAGGCAGGGTGTCTCCCCTGCTCTCTACAGGGCCCTGAGAGCTCTCTTGGCCTGGCCAGGCTGCACTGGTCCCTCTCAGGCAGGCTCCCGGGAACTTCACTTCTCTGTCACTGGCATCCCATGAGGCTGCAGCGGCCTTGTTTAAATGAGGGCAGAAGGCTGAGAGCCCATTCCCAGATCCCGTAGCACAGACATCCTATGCCCCTGGCTTTGACTGTCAGACTCGGTCTGTCTTCCTGCAGCTGTAGTAGGAACAGGATTCTTGAGGGAAATGGAAATCTCATTCTAGTGGCCATTGAAGTTAGACAAGAATAGAAAAAAAAAAAAAAAAACTGAAAAGGAGGCACCACGAGACCAGAAACCTGGCTGACATAAAGAGGTGGGGGTAGAACAGATTAACATAGCCAATGACACAGCTATGGGAACTAGGATCCTTAGGCAATGACTACACTGTTGCGGAAACTACACAGTTGCGGAAACTAGTATCCTTAGGCGCAGATTACTATCCTTAAGCATGGACGCCTAGATTACAAAGCACAGCATCCAAGCAGGTATCAGACTGCTGTCTAGAGCACAGGACCCAGGGTAAAGACATGGAGATTGAGACCATTGTGGAATCTCTAGTCCCTTTCAAATTCTTCACAGGTATCCAAAATTAGCAACCAACTGAGGACTCCCAAGGAGTGACCCTGCCCAAAGAGAAGACGACTCTATCAGTTCAGTCTCTGCACAGACTCAGGCAGCAGTCCAACTGCCTACCTGTGCCTATGCAGGTGATTCCTCTCACCAACCCTCTCCCTCTGCAGAGCAGCAGCCTCCTGCCTGCCCGTGACCTGTCCCATGCTGGGGTTTCTCCTCACTGACCTCCCTCAGCGGAGGCAGCTCCCCTCAAGGCTGCCCGCCTGCGACCATGCAGGCCTCTCCAGAGCACATCTGTTCCTTCGGGGCAGCTCTTCCTGCCCGTTGGTGTCTCTGCAAGTGTCCTTCATTCTTCTGTCCCTTTCCCTAATAAGCCTGCCCTTTAAATATAACTAACATCTCTGTCTCGTGGAGAAACTTGCCTGGCAAACTGGCTGCAGGCCGCTGAAACGGGAGCTCTGGTGAACACCTTTCCCAGAGTGAACCCAACGACCCTGCACTCCAAACCCCCAGACTCCAAAAACCACAACAGCTGTGATTGTCCTGGGGTCACAGTGTGAACTTTCCCCTTTATATCCCGGATTGAATCCTCAGCACAGTCCAGGGAGGAAAGTGACCTTATTTCTCTTAACAGATGAGAAAACCATGATTAGAGGATCTAAATAACTTGCTTAATAATTCCAAGCTCAGATTTTGAACCCGTGTCCCTCTGGTTCCTGAATCCACATGCTTTCCAGGTCGCCCGGAGCCATCAACACAAAAGTGTGCGAGGGCTGGCGACATTATCTGTGGCATCCAGGGCAAGACAAAGTGCAGGGCCCTTTGTTCAAAAATGTAGATATTTTTGTTGTCAAAAATGACAATACAGCATTAAACTAAGCATGGGGCCCTAGGAATCTGCACAGGTCACCCTGGAAGCTGGCCCTGGGTGAAGGACCTGTGTATGACCCTACACATACTGTTAGGGGGAAAAGGATGTCCCAAAGCTAATTCCATATAGGCTTTGTGGACTCCACCCCCACCCCAGGTCAAAGCCAAAGACACTGGGAACTCCGAATCCCATCACCACCAAAGGGAAGGTGGCTGGGACCTGAGGGTGGGGTTAAGCAGCCAGGTGGATATAAAAGGCAGACACGTGGGTTTTGGGGGAAATCCCCATTTTTTGGCTCTCCGCCAGCTCACAGCGTCCTGCCAGCTCTGAGAGTGACTTTGGGTTTCCAGGTCGTCGGATTGGGTAGGACGCATTAAATACTTTATTTCCCTATTTTCTCCCTGAGCTGTACATTTTCCTTATTTCCTTTTCTCTTGTAAATAAAGCTTTTATTAACCTTTTGTGTGTGTCTGTAGTAGAGTATTCATAAGTCCCTTTAAAGTGCGCGGGTGAGGACCCACAGCCAGGAACTCATTTAATATTGGGGTTGCTCTATAACAGCTTGGCGCCCAACGTGGGGCATTTTGAGTAAGCAACATATGGAACCGCAGAGCATGCTCTGGAGGAATCTGTAGGTGAAGCCTATAACAATACCATGAGCAAAACTGCCCTTCCCAGGGGAGCAGGCAAAATTCAACTTGGCAGACTTTGCCATTAAAAATGCAAGTCCTGGGCCTCCCCGGTGGCGCAGCGGTTGAGCGCTGGGTTGCGAAGCTGCCCGCGGCCTCTGTGTTCGATCCCGGCTGCTCCCGGCCACCGGAGGAGGGTCCCACATGGCGCGCAGACCTCTCCTGCCGCCCGCTGCTCCCCTCAGCAGTGTCCCTCGGTCCTTCTGCCTGCTCTGCTCCCCGCTCTGGCTCTGGTGAATTCTCTCACCCTCCCGCGCTTCTGACTGTACCCAGTGCATGTATAAACCAAACAAACAAATAGCATGCCTC